GGGAGCTCCTGGTCGGGAGCCGCTCGAGCTCCTGTTTGATGGCGGAGATGATGGGGACGGCGGGGTCGGTGGGGGGGAGCGTGGCCTGGGCCAAGACGAACTGCGGCTCGATGCACGGCCGGTGGAAGGGCCCGGCGCTGAGCGGCCGCGACTCGGAGCGCCCCCCCGGCGCCGGGGGGCTGCTCGGCGAAGGGGCCGCCACCGAGCCCCACGCCACCCCCGCGCTTCGACGCGCCTCGGGAGCCGCCCCGAGCTCAGCGCCGCACGCGTCCGCGGCGTCCGCGGAGGTCCGCGGTCGCAGGATCGGCTCCGGGTGGATGTCACAGACTGGTCTGCAACAAAAAGCGAGAGTCAAAATTAGGTCCATGGAAGAGGGAAAACTGCGAGCTGATTGTTGAAATTGATACACTGAAAAAAAAATCTCGGTGTATTTACTAAGAAAAGAGTAAAATTACCAAGAATGCAGGGTTCTATTTGATCCCAGTTTTTTCTTGGTAAAATTTCCATTTATGGAATTGGAAATTTTACCGAGAAATCTCCGTAAAATTATTGACTTTCTCAGTAATTTTACTGGACCTTGGTAAAAACGCCAATATTTTTTATCGACTGTGGTAGAATTACCGAGATAAGATGGCAAAGTTACCGGAAATTGATTACCAATAAAAGTGGTATTCTTACCTGAAAAGAACAGTAAAAATACCGGTTTTTAGGTAAGCTTACCAGTCCGTCATAGTACAATTACCAATAATTGGTAAAAAAAAAGTGAGATGGTAAAGGTACCAACGGACCTCGGTAAAAACGCCAAGAATTTTTTTTCAGTGGATAAAGAAGGAAGACATAGGGAGTATAAAGCGATCTTATTGATTGAAATGGTTGGTTCCTAATACTGAGGGAGAGAATGATAGACTAACTAAAGAGGAGAGACTTTGGCCATCGAATTGTGAAAATGGGAAGTGAACTTGATCTCTAACACTGTGCCTCTCACTGGAGGACGTTTTCAAACTCCTATTATTTTCGATTCCTGATCCTACTTTGAGTACCTTTCTGTTGAGCTGGAAACTAGTCCAACCAGCGAACCGAGTGTTGAAATTGATAGACAAAGCTATAAACCAAGAGGAAAAAAGGGACTTCAAGATGGTCCCTCGTGAGTTGCCGTCAGCTAGCATATCATCTACCTTCTTCGTCCATTGCAACCACCCACTTCCATCAAAAGGACCCTCCATATCCCTTTTTTCTTCATTGACTATGGCTTTGTCTATCAATTTCAACAATCAGTCCGCTGGTTGGACTAATTTTCAGCTCAACAGAAATGGTACATACTTAATGAAGGGTCGAGAATCGAAAGATAGAGATTTGGAAACGTTCTCCAACGAGAGGCACAGTGTTAGAGACCAAGTTCACTTCCCATTTTCATATTTCGACGGCCGAAGTGCAAAATCTCGTATCTCCGTTGCGGTGTTTCAGAATTTCCGCTCCTATTTTATTTTTTCGAAGAGACACAATCCAACTTCATATCTTGAAATTTATACAGAATACTCTGCTAATCAAGCAGAAAAATTAAGGCACTTTTGATCAAATTACGCTAACTAGTTTTCCAAAAAATTGATAAAGTATGGCAGGAAGTCTGCAACGTCATAAACAGAGATCACTAAGATCATGAAACTACGACCACTAAAAGAGAGTAAATAAAGCAATTGAGGGAACGAAAAAGTCAGTATTTGTGAGAATGATGTGGAAGTGCAGGAAAAAACAATCTGAATAAAATGAGGATGCACACTCTGCACTAGCACAGCCCACTATCCATACAGTTCGTGTTTAACGTTGTGTATCTTTTAAGGGTGTTTTTTCTGATTATTTTTTTGTTGACTCATTTTAATCTATTGATCTTGATTCGGTAGATTATGATTTAGCTCCTATTGTATTTCATCAGCTGCATTTAGTTCTAAATTCAGAAAAAATCCCAATGGAAAGCACGGCATTACATTATTTTTATCAGAATTTTCTGAAATATTTTACTAAATCTTCAACTTTGGACGAAAGTAAGGTGGTTCACACTATTTCAGAAGGGAAGGTGGATCAGGACTACCGTGTAACTCCAGGAGAAGAATGTCTGAAAGTAAGTTTACAGACACATGATTGAGAGAGGACTTCAGTACAAAATTCTTTATAAAAAATTACATTAATTGCAGAAATGTGTTTTAGAAAGAAATTTAAACACAGCGTACAACCTGACCAGAGCAGATTTGGCTCGAATATCTATGGATGTAGATCTGGAAGAAGTTGGACTGGGTGAAGGCGGAGGGCTCCCGAAAAGGCTGAAAGCGTCGTCGAGAAGCTGGTGAAATCTGCGACGCATTCTACCGACATTTGGCTCAATTAAAGAGGGGTCGTCTTCCAGCTCCAAACATTCGGCTGAAATTAACGAATAATCAATCAGGGTATTTTAAATTCAAAATTCTACTAAAACCGGCGATTAGTCTGTCACACGCAAGAAATACATTGCTGTGCTAAGAAAGTATGACGTATGAACATTCATAAAGTGGCGGATTCTTTTTGAAGAAAGTTGTACATATTTTTCCTTGAAATTTTCAGAAACTTCATTAAAAATATTTTTACTTGACTCCTGCATTCACTGGAGGTTTGAATTGTGCCAAAAATATCAATGTCTGAAACGTGGACTTCAGAACTGTTTCATTACTAGAATTACCACACGCTGCTTCTTAGCACTTCAGCTCGGTGACAGAATTAAAATCAACCTCTAAGAAAGTATGGTTCTTTTTTTCAAAATGCTCTCCAAAAGAATCGATTTTATGAGTAGATTATATGAAAATCTCTTAAGTCAGTATAGAATCGATGCCTTCATTCGTTGGTAAAATGTTAATTTAGAAACACTTCGCTCTAGCTAATTTACCTTGTTTGTAAAGACGATGACAGTGCAGGTCCCAAACAATAGGACCAACAACACCTGGGTCATTACCTTCCACACTTCCATGCCGTGTCAACTTTGGAACTGGAGACTTGGAATCTTCAGCAAGGACCTGGTTTAATGGTTCTGGTATCTTTGCCCGCCTTCAAAAGTTAAAACCAAACACTATTTATTAGGAAAATTTAGACAAAATACAACAACTCATAAGTATATTTTTTTATCAAGGAGACATTTTATTAGGTGTTTTTTGCGACTTGTTGAAATAAAAGCAAAACGTATATCATTACAAGATATTTTTTCCTGTATAATCGGTTAGGCAAAAACAGATCTAATGTGCATGAAAAGTTGTATCCTTTTACAGACTGACCCGAAAAGTCAACTGTTCTGCGTGAAATTCTGGTAAAAAATCGTGTATTAGAGTGCTTAAAGTCTAACCTTTTTTAATGGCCCATTCAATTCAAAAATGTAAACACAGAGAACTTCCCTATAACTTTTCTCACAAAAAATAGTTTATCGGGAGAAACTAGGCAACGTTGGAATGCTCCTACTGCGTCGAGGCACAACATGGGCCATTTTAACCCCATTGTTTGATGCCGCGATTATCTTAACACAAATAATCGCGCCAAACACGGTGCGGTCGGTGTCAAACTCATATCAGCGCCTGCAAGGCTGTAGGAATACTTCACGCATTGCGCTAAACAGTGCGGTCGCCGTCGAGCGCATATTGGCGCCTACAGGACTCCTCGAATACCTCTCGCATTGCACCAAACGCAATGCGAGAGTTATTTGCGATAACTATTCGAACCACGGGTAAAAGTACACTGCCGCTAACTGGATTGAAGGCGCGTGACACTGAGAAGATGACTCGACACTCGACCGCGCTCCCTTCCCTGGCTTGCGCGACGCTAAAATCGCCGCAAAACTAGGACCACGCGTCAGTTCTATTGACGGTCCCTGCCCGGTTTTTACTACAATTAAAGGGTAAATAAGTGTCTTAATGCAACGATTCAGAAACTCGGACGATATATAAACGATGCAGTTATTCTGAAACTTGATTCGCGTAAAATTGATTTTGGATTAATAAAAAGAAAAAAGAATGAACGAAAATATCGCGTAGAAATTTTTTGTGATTTTATTTTAAATCAGTCCGGAAATTTATTGGAAACTTCTTAAAAAACTGTGTGTGGCTTTTTTTAAAAAATTGATTACAAATAAAACATGAGCAGAGATGTACAACGTTGCAAGCGGAGATAAGAACATTTTATTCCGTATGCAGGCGTCGATATTTGATTTTATTCACGGCAGGCGTAACGAGATAACTATTCGATCATGCATGCAGGCATTTTGCTGCCAAAGGGATAGAAGGCGCGTCATACTCCGGAGATGACTCCACCAACTTCACTTCCCTGGCTCGCGCGTCGCGGAAGCCACCGATAAACTAGCACTACGAGCCATTATTCTTGACTCTCTGCTCCGGTTTTTACCATCATCATACAGAAAATACGTATCCTTACTGTAACGATTCAGAAATTTTGATGATTTAAATTTTTTTTTCTTTTTTTCTTTTTTACAAGAAGAGAAAATAGAATGAACGGAAATATCGCGTCGAAATTTTCGATGCTTACTTTTGGGATAATTTAGGAAAATTCGTGGGAACTCTTCAGAAAAATTGTGTGTAGCTTTTTAAAAACGGTGTTAAAAAAAAAGACATAAACAGTGGTGCATAGCTTAGCAATCTGAGATAAATGCGCCTTCTTCCGCGTGCACCAGTCGGTTTTTGAATCCGTTCACCATTAGCCATCACCTCTGAAATAACTTGAACATGGTTGTTCTACGATTTTTACGTGTAGTTTTTTTTTGCAGTGGTTGGCGGCCGCGTAGCGGCCACAGGCCCCTAGTTACTCGTACACTTTCTATATTAATCAGACATTTTTCTCATGTTTATGGTTTTTTCTTACCTCGGGAATGCTTTGACGGAAGGCATAGACAAATATGAGTTGGGGCTGGAAACTCTAGCCGAGCGGGGTTTTGGAGTTGGAGTTGGGGTGGTCGCGGGGGGATTTATCATGGCGAGCCCCCCTCCGCGCACGAGGGCAGCCTCAGAAATGTCGCTCTGTTCACTGATCGAGTGGTGACTCAATGAGGCCCTGCTTCCTGTCTGAAAAAAATAAAGTTCAATCATCAACAACGAATACAATTTTTTTGAAAATCCAAACATATCGATTTCAATTGTAATTGAAGTCGCCGAGAGGGGGGGGGGTATTTTTTGCACCACCCCAAAGTGGAACAAGCTTTCGGGAGAGGTAGGAAATAAAATTGCAAACATTGATGTTTATTCTGTCACATTATATATTTTTAAGAGTTCCTCTTATAGGAAATTTTGAAAAAATATACAATGAAACCTCTTTTGAACTTTTGACTTTCGTATTAACGAAGATATAAGCTTTTAAAGGTTTCAAATCATGCCACCTTCATGTTCACCTCAACTGTGCGCCCTTTTAAAATGGCAAATTTTACTTGCATATGAGTCGCACCGAAAAAAATTATGATATTTTACTTCATTGTTTTTCTAAGATGACACAAAGTAATGTAACCACTGTTCCACCCCTACCGGTCAATTTACATAATGATAATGTAATCTCACAATTTCGAGGGTAGCTAAATCAAAAATTAAAATTTCAATGTCTAGAATTGAAATGATGGAAAATTATCGTTGCATCCAACTTTTCGAAATATAAGCCACCATTTAACAAAAGCGTAAATCGAGTTATGTCGGTTCGAAAAATCGATTCAGATTTAAGTTTGATCATAAAATCTGATTAGGTTTTTCCCAGATTTTTTGGGGTCGAAAAATCGAATAAAATAGTCATTACTATTCTAAATTTTTCATGTACCTTAGCGTCGGGCTGGTCGTCTTGGAACGCGATATTGGAGATGCCGCGATGGGCCTCCCTCTCGAAGACGCGACTCTTGTTCAAGTTACCCTGGACGCGGGACTTCTGTTTCCGTTTGTGGCTGTTGTAGCCGAGGATGAAGATGGCGATGAGGATGATGAACAGGATGACAGCGCTCAGACCCGAGCCGATCAGGAGCCAAGTGTCACGTGACCTAGCAGCCGCTTCGCTTACCGCCTCAGAACTTCGTAAGTAAGCTTCAAACACAACCACAAACGATTATAAGTTTCAAAATATTGTAAATACAGGGGTATTCAAAAGTTACGCACCACTGGCCATGAGGTGGGTGGTCATTTGAAATTTTTGAGTCGCCTCCGCCTCCCTCAAAACCTGGGGATCAAAAACTGGAAAGCTCCTAAAAAGTTTGCCCCTCGATATGAGGAAAAACGTCTTAAACCGCAAATCGATATCATAATTAGAACTGAGGTTATGGCCAGTGGTGCGTAAATTTTGAATAACCCTGTAGATTAATAGAAGCACAATTTGCAATAAGGAACCACTATCTCTTGCTCTTCTGTAAAAACACCTTTCTGCATGCATAGGGAAATCAATGACATATTTGTCGTTTCTAAAATGAGCTAGAAATAGTGGGATAAATTCCTTGTTTACAGAGAAATTGTTGGTTGAATCTGTTTTATAATTTCACTGAATTTAATCAGCAGCACAAAGAGAATTTAGTGAAATTTTCGGACAGCCTCGTTGAAAAATTTATGCGTTAAAAAATAAAATGGCGGCAGAAATTTTTAAACATCGCATGGCGCTTGGGATACTTTGATCGGAAGGAGACTATTTGGTGACAAACATGTTTGTCACGTGTACGTGACACAAGTATTGACCACTTAAACCGATAGCTGTGCATACACTGACAAAATAAATGGTCGTCTGCCACGTTGTATAGCGTGTGTTATCACGTGGCAGACAACCATTTTTCGTGTCAGCGGGCCGATTATCGAAACTTATAGACAAAGCGATAGACAAAGAAGACGCACGGAGTATGGAGCGATCCTATTGGTTGAAATAGGGGGATCCTGTAGACTAGGGGAGAAAATGATGGACTAACTGTCGGGTCTTTGGTGGGTTGCCGTTACTCAGTCCATTACCTACCTCCTATGTCCATTGCCACCACCCGCTTCCACCAATAGGATCCCTCCAAATACTTTTTTTCGTCTTTGTCTATAGCTTTGTCTATCAGTTTCAATAATCGGCCCGCAGGGCAGATCTAAGTTGTTAAAACTTGTGTCACGATTTTCTCACTTAATAACTTCTGTACTGCTGAAATCCAGGAATTTTGAGTCCGAAGATTGTGATAGTGTCACCGTCACACAAATCAATCAAAACCTTCATCTAATAAAATTGTAAAGGCCGGTTTAAACAAAAATATCAACACTCACGTTCAGCTTTGGTTTCGACGGGATAGCCGAGTTCAGAGGTTGCCTCTCCTTCGGACACAAGTCGCATATCCCGGGCAGCGGCAAGGGCCAAAACGGGTCGACCCGCAACTCGAACAGAGTAGACGAGTTCCAGAGAGCCGGTCCCGGGTGCAGATCTCAGGTTGTGCACCCGCACACTCACATCCCGCTTCTCGCGGCGCCTGCGAATCACCTGCTTGGCAAACTGCAGCGCCGTGCTCGAGTTCCAGTACCCGCTCCCATTCCAGCCCAAGTGCAGTGCTTGTTGCCTACTCAAAAAATTGAAGGAAATTCAGTACGGACAGGTAAACGCGATTGCATATTTCATAGTCTGAGGATTATTCATGCGGGCCATTGTTGAGTAATTAAGTTTTTTGACCAAGGGTTCTTTAAGCTTTTTAAAAGCTGGTTTTTAATTTTTGTTTTTTTGTTTTATTTTTGCAATGAAATTTTTAAGGGCACATCCTAATATAACCAAACCCATGACCAATAAAGAAGGTAGACACATTTAGCGTTCAGGTGTCGTAGAGCAGAGCACCGAAGTGCGCGATAAGAGCGACTTACATGGATGTGTGGGTGGTTCGTAAATACATTTATTTGAAGGTTCCTTAACGAAAAAAAATCAATGACACCTTAGAAAAGAGAGATCCATTTAGAAAGAGGATGTATATAATCACATCTTGATATTCTAAGAAACCTAATGGACCTTGGTCAAAGAACTGGATGAAAAGATGACGGACCAGATTCCTGTCTAATCCGTGGTAAATGCAGAAACATAATATACAGAAGATACTCCATGCATAATATGTAAAAGCAACATGAACGGGTTTAACATTATCTAGCAAATAACATATTCAATGGGATCCATCGCTCATTATTATGGTTAATATCGACCGATTCAAACCACGTGGTGATTCCACGATCAAATCTTTTCCTAATCATGCTTTTATCGTTCATTCAATTATACGTTGCATTACTTTTAATGTAATTATTAGAGAGATATAAGTATCGTATTTTTATTAATGGAGACAGTTTTTTACTCGTTCATTAAAAAAAGCACGCCTGAGTGTGGAATATTCTAAATACCTCTCAAAGAAAACTTAAATAATTTTGATTCTGAGGATTTAAACCGTGTCTTCGTCACACAAATCGAAACATGTGTCATCGATTATCATGCGGCTTATCATGCTGTCGCTCGGAAATAACATTCTCGCCATAACGGAGGCTTTCGGCGCTGATAACCTAAGATATTGCACTAACCGGATACGAGGGAAAATTTCTCTATATATATATTTATAACATCTTATCATCTGGTTTTCCAAACCGTGGCACTATATACGCTGAAACTTCAATTTATAATTACATACCCTTTGCTAGAAGAATGTCTATCCTGCAATCTGAAGACGATTTTAAAAGGCACAAAACACGCAAAACTGCATTTGATGCGATCGGCCGAATGAACAAGAGCATCGATCAAACATGTTGTAAATGAATGAAAGCGTGTATCCAAGCAACCCTGGACTTGTTTTGTCAAAAACACACGGCTTCGGATGCACGGGAAAATGTCCCGTCTCGCGTGGAGTGTGTGATGCGGTTCCGGGTGGACGATTACTACCGTATTAGCCATAGGTTGATTTATATGTTGCCAAATGTCCTCGAATAAGACATTTAATTTCCAGGCAATTAATTAATATTTGCCTCTGAAATTTACAGATTCGCTACACGGAAAAAAATTAAATTGCTGATTCAACAATTCAATTGCTAAAAACAGTGAGTGCAATGTTTCAATGTAGATTTTACAACAAAAAAATGCTACTTTAACCACCCCCGTGGTTAAATTAGTTTACAATGTGGTTAGAGTAGCATTTTTTTGTTGTAAAATCTACTTTGAAACATTGCACTCACTGTTTTTAGCAATTGAATTGTTGAATCAGCAATTTATATTTTTCCGTGTAGGATAAACTTTGAATTAAATTCTCTGAAAAATTCAAAGAAAATATTTTCAAGTTTCCTGGAAAATTCGAATTTTATCAGAGGAAATGTTGCAACATCTACATGTTTATGCTGTATTTTTCCTTGACCCGGTAGACAGTAGAATACGTTTACCTCACCGCTCAACTGCAATATAAGCCTAATACAGCTTTACGTTTTTTGCCGAACACAGTAAAAATAATACTTCATCAGTTACAGTCATGCGCAATTTAGCATTGCCAGGGATTTTTTTAGGAAGGATCAGCTTGTTTTATTACACATCATAACTTCAGTGCATTTGCAGAAATTTGCATCCTGGTTTGCGATGTCGCAGCCTTCCTCTCAACCTTAATTTTTTAATAGAACACCACCGAATATTATTTCTGGAAAATTTCTGCGATTTTTCAACTCTAAAAAAAGAGTATTTTGTGAAAATCCAATCAATGCTTTTGGCTCATTCGGTTCTTTAGGAAAATAAAATGGGAGCGGAGATTTTGAAACCACGCAATCGAGATACGCATTTTTGCAGTTCACCGTTGTTGATATGAAATCACTGACCAGCGATGAATTTCACACTGCGACATTCTGGAATTTTCAGAAATTCTAAAAATATGACTTGTAAGTGTGCCTATTTTAGAAAATTGAAAAATTAAACTTTGATAAGTCAATTCATGTTGAAATTGAGCTTATCAGAATATGAATACCGCTTGACAAACATCTGGTTGACCAGGTACTTAATTTTTTGGTATAAAAATCAGGATTATTGCAGTTCATCGTTTTTCTCTCCTCCTTGTCCTTGAGGTGACTACAAAATTATTTGCCAATATCTATGAGGTTTTTCAAGTGTCCATAGGTTCAAAATACCGAAGCTTCTTTTTGCAGGTTACAGTCTAAGTGGTACCTACTTTTCCTTCAGTCTAACCCGTCCACACCGTTAGTAAAAATCTGCACACATCAGGCGTGAATAAAAGTTTACATTCTAAACTTATTTATCTAATATAAATACCTATTAAAAGCTATCCGGTACAGACGGGCTAATCTTGGCTCGAATTTAGTTGGATTCAAGTCTAAAGTTGCGTTCACTTTCAGGACAGTTATGACCCAGTACTTGGGCTCCGGCACAGTTTGAAATGGGGCCTCTGTTTGAGAGGCTGGGAACTCAGCTGTCGCAGAAGGAGGATTCAGAGTTGGTGTCGGCTGAATGGAACATTCTTCGCCGCCAATACAGTCCACGGACGCCATCTGCAATCAAAGTAATACTTAGAATATAATTGTTCATTCCTTCTTTTTTCTTTGGCAAATTCCAATTGTAATTCTCGACATTTTGGTCCACAAGCCCTATCTCGTAATTTTTTTTACATTTTTTACATTTTCCTTCACTCTCCAATCTGAAATTTCAAAGGATACCATCTCCAATCTCGTAAAATAACTCCGCACAAAATTAAAACGGAATATTTAATAACCAGCCGTTACGTACACATCACACATTCTGGTGACGCATTTTGCGTGCTTGCGTTAAATGAGTTTAGTAAAAGGAAAAAGTCTTGCCTTTTTTCTTTTTTGCCTTTACTATGTAATTCTGTGAATTAGTGCCGAGGATGGACTTGACGTCCGGAATGTGTATCCACTAAAACAATTAACAACTAGCGTGTAAAGGCAAGACTTTCTCCTTTTATTTAATTTACTACAAATTCAATCATAGGTTACATATTCTTCATTTTGAAGGCGCTTTTTAGCACCGGGTTCTATTTTCCTGCAGGTTCCATCATTGTTGTCAGAGGTGTGACACAGCCTCTGAACTTGAGCCTCTTCACGGACCGTATAGTATACGTAAGTCACGGTATACTCACAGACGGCCTGACATAAACAGGTGTTGAGTAAATGGTGGTGAGTATAGTGGTGGTCTGGAATACAGTGGTGGTTTGCCACGAGTGATCCCCGCTCTCTCCATCCTCGCCATCCCCGGAACCGGTCCAAAGGAAATCCTCGAGCCGATAGTTCCGCCTTAGATCTTCCTCAGCGTACACTGAAACAGTCGTGCAAATAAAATGTAAAATTAACTTTATTATTAAAGTGATTTAATTACACTGAAAAAAAAAAAAAATATTGCTGAAATTGCCGTGCACGCGGGTATTTCATGGCATGGTGTAGCTAAAAAACGAACGTGCAAACCATGCAGGTAAAATCGCTACACAAATTTCAGCTAACTTACACACACGCGTGCAGGTGATTTTGCTAACTGAAAAGCTACGTCCTGTTACCTTTTTAGTTATTCTTCCGTAAATTTCGCTATCTATACGTAAATTCCGCTATTTCAGCCTAACTATTGAGCAATTTTTACTGTTCGCAAAGTACCAATACCAAAAAATGCAGTTACACTTCCAAGCCACTCGATGCAAGATTAACTGCATGAAGGCGCGCAGATGTAGCAAATCGGTGTAGCAATTCGTGCTAGTCGTTCACTTGATTCAACACCGTGCACGGATAAGAAAGCTTTACGAAGTGAAGCAAATTTTGCTCCACCCTATATCGGTGAATTAGCTATCCTTTTTTTTTCAGTGCCTGTCTATGGTTTTGTCTATCAATATCAATAATCAGCCGGCAGCCTGCCCGGAATGCCGTGCACTCTGTGGCGTAGGTGTGGAAATCCCTCGGCTGATGAGGGTAATGATCCCGCGTTGATGCTGGAATTAGGTGTGTCTGGTAACATTCATTGGCGTTGGCGGGTGCGGGTGGTCACCGTGTGGGTCGGTGGGGTGGCGGGGGTGGCAATGGCGTGCACCAACAGTTTAAAACTTTTCAAAACCAATACCGTAACGCGTGTCCGCTCTTGAGTGTTGGGTCCTCGGCGTTCGAAGTAGGGTGCCAAACTGAACAAAAATTACTTGATTTTTCCATCTTGGTAAACTTCTTTTTCCAAAGCTTGCTTTAAATCGGTAGATGAATGGAGGCTTTGGAGCGAGAAAAATGTAAGTATTCTTTCATATGATACGATAATTTTTATACCATGAATTAACAGATTTCTTTCAAATAATACGCGAAAACCGGATTCTGGCTGTAGAGCCCCATCGAAATGCTTTTGTGACTGTACGATTTCAAATTCGTAAAGAAAAGTAAACGGAATGATTATGCGCCCCCCCCCCC